GCCCGGTCCTCCCCATCCAGCAGAGGAAGGTGAGGGGGACAGTAAGCCAGAGAGCGACGATGGGATCACTCGCTCACAGGTGTGGCTGAGAAGGGGCTCTTGGGGTGTCTGTCTCAGGTGTTCCTTGCCCCGAGTGGGAGCCCAGGGAGGAGCCGGTCTCAGTAGACCACCTCGTACACCGTGGCCTTCTTGTCCCCCGAGCCCGTTACGATGTACTTGTTGTTCCCGGAGATGTCGCAGCTCAGCACGGAGGATGACTCCTTGGACTGCGGATGGGATAGGGGAGCGGGAAGGAAAGGAGAGGAGAGAGGTGATGTGCAGCCGACACTCACGTGGTGGCTGGTCCCTGGGCTCTGATCGCATGGACGGATGCCCAGGGAGAGGAGGAGGGGCTTATGGTCAAGGTCTCCAGATAAGGGAGCCCAGAACAGGGAGCCAAGATTCTTCTGGTAGGGAAAAGGGTAAATGTTCCAGAAGGTTATCTAGAGAAAGGTCCTTGGGAGTGGAGCCTGGACATGGAGGCGCTCTGAACAAGTCCCGATGCCCATGCTGTCTGGATACCCATTCCCGGGAAGCTGAGCAAGGGTGTGCACCAGGCCAAGGTCACACAGCACGGCACAGGGCCAAGGCTTACAGGCAGCAAGACAACCCCCTGTAGTAACTGCTCCTGGCTCAGCAGCCCACAGGAGGCTGTCCAAGAGTCTACAGCGCTGCTTTTGCAAACCCTTAAAAAAACAGAACCACTTCGTACCCACTAAGATGGCTACATGTCATAAACTCAAAATACTGAACCCAGGTCCGTCAACTCCAAACTCATTGCAGGATGTCCCAAAACTGAGGTCACTGTCATCAGATCCACGCTGACTCACAGCGACACCCCGTGGGTTTCCGAGACGGTCACTGTTGACGGGAGTAGAAAGCCCAGTCTTTCTCCCGAGGAGCTGCCGGTGGTTTCGAACTGTTGACCATTTGGATCGCAGCCCAATGTTTAACCACTATACCACCAGGGTTCCTATCCAGGGTTTTGGAGGCCGTAAATCTTTCAAGAAACAGCTGGTAGGTCTGAACTGTCGAGCTGGCAGTTAGTGGCCCAACACCTAGCCCACAGAGCTACCAAGGCTCCTTTAAGCCGTGACAGGCAATGCATAAATGAATAGGGATGGCTATGTGCCAATAAAACTTTATTTTACACAAACAGGCCAAGGGCCACAACAGACCAACCCTACTTTAAAAGTAGTTGAGAGATGGGGTAGCTTGAAGTTCCCTGAGACTGAGGGGGGTGGGGGTGCGCCGGGCAGTGTGTCCTGCCAGGGGTGGGGAGTACCTGGAAAATGCTGGCTCCGTACGGCGTCCTCCAGGCGTTGAGCAGGTTGTCCTTCCCAGTGCTCACAAACCACCTTCCTGGGGGGCGGGGGTGGGGGACAGCCAAGGGTTGAGGAGGGCAAGACTAGGCTGCCAGTCGAGGTGAGGCAGGCTCCTTGTTCCTGGATGCCTGCAGCCTCACTTCCCCCTCAGAGCCTCTGTCTCCACTTCCCTCCTAGAACTTCTTCTACCTTCACTTCTCGCTCAGAAAGCTGAGGCCCACTTCTTGCCCCATTTCCCAGATGATAAACTCAGAGTCCCAGGGGGCTGCCCCTGGCCCTGACGCAGCAGGCACCAGGGGCCAGATAAACTACAGTTAAATCGGGATCTCAGATAAACAACGGACCGCCTTTTGGTACCAGTAGGTCCCACAGAGTTCATGAGTTGCTTTCAAGCATCAGTATGTCCTGTGAAAATATGGGGCATATTCATACTTATAAATCTTTTTTTTTAAGTATAGGTATGTCCCGTGCAATATTTGGGACGTAT